TTAACAATGACTGAAGGAGAAGACGTTACATTTTATTCATTTCTCAATGTTGAGTCTTCAGCCACTGAAAAAGAAATTGCAAGGGCATACAGGAAACTTTCTTTGGCTTTGCAGTACGTCAAATCAATTTATATATTTAAGGGTTATCTGATGTGGACGCGAATAATGCTTTTCGTTTCATAACTCTAATCTTATAATTCGTAGTCCCGATAAAAACCCCGATGCAAATAGTAAAGAAAGGTTCGCACTATTAGGGTCTATTGCATCAATATTACGTAATCAGGAATCCCGAGAACGCTATAATTTCTTTTACAAAAACGGCGTACCAAAATGGCGCGGAACCGGTTGGTACTACAAACGTTATCGACCAGGTCTTACCGGGGTTCTTATTGGTCTATTTGTGCTGTGCTCGTTCTTGCATTATGTTGTGATGTGGATAAACTTCTATCAAGAAAAAAAGAGAATGCGCTTTTTCATTCAAGAGGCAAGGGAAATCGCTTGGGGTAAACGAATGAAAAAGCAAAATGCCAGGAAGAGAGTTAATGTGAACGACAAACAATTCATTGTGGATGGTGATAATGTCGCATTTCTCACTGACGAAGGGGAGGAGTTTTTGTTGGGCGAAGATAAGGTCGCCAAACCATGTTTCAGAGATCTGTTCCCGGTATTGATTTGTAAGACAACCCTAGAGAAAATTTTAACCTTGTTAAGACTTAAGAGTAAATCTATCAACGGAATGGAAATTCCTATTGACGGCAAAGAACCATTCTCCAGTGACGATGAACGTAGCGAGGCGGGTGATCATCCAAAGGGCAAAGCACGTCGGCGTAAATTAGATAGAAAAGCAAAGTCAAATATATAACAATGTAATTTTATTCTGAAATTGAGGGTTTCCTTATTAGACGGACGACTTTGAAAGAACATTATTCTTATTACCAACTTATTAGAAATTACATAGAATATTACTAACAAAATTTTATATACATTCAATTTTGTCAATATTAAAAGCATTTTTTCGAATTTTTCCATATAAGGCAGTAAAAGAAAAATAAATATTAATATTGATGTTCGAACATATTTAAACTGGGCGCTTGTCGGCTTGGTAGCAAGGCTGAAACTGATCCCTATGTTTTATTGGTCAGAGCTGAGTCATTGCCATCGATGAGTTAGCCAAGCCACGGATCCGATTCATAAGTTTTGCTATTTGAGGCTAAAATTGAAAAAAAATTAGCTTCACTTTATGTAAAAAATTAACACTGTGGTAAGACAACATTATTGTCGTTATTAAAAGCATCTTTGTTTGTAAATCAAACTATAAAATAGGATACGGATAGGCTTAAAAGGATCAGGGTTAACGGTTTTAACATTTGTTGTCCATCGTTATAGGTGCTTGGAAATTCGAATAAACAAAAAAGAATAAAAAACTTCAAGCCTAAACGGGAACGGTAGTTGAAAAAAGGTATTTGATACTATTATTACACGAATCCAGAAAATTTATTGTTGTGCCACATGGTTAATTTAAAATAGAAATAGGATGAATATTTTTTTTTTTGAATTATATTTTTTTTTCCTTGTTTTAAATAGCATGTTTATTAGATGATGTACAATATATAATCAAAGTAATACAAAATTTTTCTTTAAAAGATACTTTACTCATTGTAGCCTGAGCTCCTAGTATACATAATATAGAAATAGTTAATGGCATTAGATGTTTTTTGGAAAGTGTTTAGTTTAGCAAGTATAATGATATTGATATGAATGGTTTTTAAGATAAAATTAGAATAAGGAGGAGTGCAAGAAAACAAAAGAGTAGAGAATTGTTATGGGCCTTTTTTTAATGCAACCAAAAAATCAAAAAAATTTCCAAACTTGAATAGACTTTGATTAGAAATTCTATTTTATTGTATTAGTTGTTTTGATTATACATGTGTTCGTATTTAATTCAGACATTTTTCAAAAACCGTATTATGTTCGTATTACTAAGTAACAATTAG